CTTCTATTCCTTTACTCCCCTCAACTAAAACCCCCTACCACCAACGTCTGAATAACTTCCTGGCTCTAGATCCCTCTTGCTCCTGGTTTACCTTAACACCAATAGATCACTGCTTTGTTTTAATGATCACCTCCAACAGACACCCTAATTGCCAATAGTTCAGAATCTAAATACCTCAGGCTTCAGTGCCACCAAGTAGCATAAAGTTCAAGGGCTTTGGAGTTGGAATTTTTATTTTGACACTCACTAGCCACAGCCTTGTATAAAACAAGAAAATACAAACACCTCAAGTTCTGGGGGTTACAAATAAGACTGTAGTGAAGCTGCAGGCATACAAGACATTCCAGCTTTCTGTTCTAACAGTCAAATCCCATGCTACCTAAATTTACCATGCTTCCCAACACATCCCAATGACTTTACACCAGGTTCATTCCAGACACCCCTGCTCATGCAGTCCTCTCCAGACTCCACCTGCCGCACTTATGTTTATTTAACCATACTTTCTTGGATTATTTTTTCCTCAGGCATGTCTTGTTTTTTCTTTTTAAGAATCTAATTTAAATAATTTTATTTTACTTATTTTTATTTTTCCTGTTATTCATATGTGCATACAATGTTTGGGTCATTTCACCCCCCTTCCTCCATCCCCTTGCTACCAGGCAGAAACTATTTTGCCCTTATCTCTAATTTTGTTGAAGAGAGAGTATAAGCAATAATAGGAAGGAACAAGAGTTTTTGCTAGTTGAGATAAGGATAGCTATACAGGGAGTTGACGTGCATTGCTTTCCTGTACATGTGTGTTACCTTCTAAATTAATTCTTCTCAAACTAACCTTTTCTCTAGTTCCTGGTCCCCTTCTCCTAGTGGCATCTGTCGCTTTAAAGTATCTGCATTAGTTTCTCTGCATTGAGGGCAAAAAATGCCATCTAGTTTTTTGGGTGTCTTACCTATCCTCATACCTCCCTTGTGTGCTCTCGCTTTATCACGTGATCAAAGTCCAAGCCCCTTGTTGTGTTTGCCCTTGATCTAATGTCCGCGTATGAGGGAGAACATATGATTTTTGGTCTTTTGGGCTAGGCTAACCTCACTCAGAATGATGTTCTCCAGTTCCATTTACTTGCAAATGATAAGATTTCATTCTTCTTCATGGCTGCATAAAATTCCATTGTGTATAAATACCACATTTTCTTAATATATTCATCAGTAGTGGGGCATCTTGGCTTGTTTCCATAACTTTGCTATTGTGAATAGTGCTGCAATAAACATGGGTATGCAAGTGCCTCTGGAGTAACCTGTGTCACGTTCTTTTGGGTATATCCCCAAGAGTGGTATTGCTGGATCATATGGTAGATCTATAAGAACCCTCCAAATTTTTTTCCAGAGTGGTTGCACTAGTTTACATTCCCACCAGCAGTGTAAGAGGGTTCCTTCCCCCCCCCCCATCCTCGCCAACACCTGTTAGTGGTGTTGCTAATGATGGCTATTCTAACAGGGGTGAGGTGGAATCTTAGTGTGGTTTTAATTTGCATTTCCTTTATTGCTAGAGATGGTGAGCAATTTTTCATGTGTTTTTTTGGCCATTTGAATTTCTTCTTTTGAGAAAGTTCTGTTTGGTTCACTTGCTCATTTCTTTATTGGTGCATTAATTTTGGGAGAATTTAGTTTTTTGAGTTCCCTATATATGCTGGTTATCAGTCCTTTGTCTGATGTGTAGCTGGCAAATATTTTCTCCCACTCTGTGGGTGGTCTCTTCAGTTTAGAGACCATTTCTTTTGTTGAGCAGAAGCTTTTTAGTTTTATGAAGTCCCATTTATCTATGCTATCTCTGAGTTGCTGAGCTGCTGGGGTTCCATTGAGAAAGTCCTTGCCTATACCTATTAGTTCCAAAGTATTTTCTACTCTTTCCTGTACCAACTTTAGAGTTTGTGGTCTGATATTAAGATCCTTGATCCATTTTGAGTTAATATTGGTATAGGATGATAAACATGGATCTAGTTTCAGTTTTTTGCAGATTGCTAACCAGTTTTTCCAGCAGCTTTTGTTGAAGAGGCTGTCTTTTCTCCATCATATATATTTAGTGCCTTTGTCAAAGGTAAATTGGTTATAGTTGTGTGGCTTCATATCTGGTTCCTCTATTCTGTTCCACTGGTCTTCATGTCTGTTTTTGTGGCAGTACCATGCTTCTTTTATTGTTATTGCTTTGTAATATAGTTTGAAGTCGGGTATTGTGATACCTCCAGTATTGTTCTTTTGACTGAGTATTGCCTTGGCTATTCGTGGCCTCTTGTGTTTCCATATAAATTTCACAGTAGATTTTTCAATCTCTTTAATGAATGTCATTGGGATTTTGATGGGAATTGCATTAAACATGTAGATTACTTTTGGGAGTATAGACATTTTTACTATGTTGATTCTACCAATCCATGAGCCCCAGATCTCTCCACTCTCTATAGTCTTCCTCAATCTCTTTCTTCCGAAGTTTATAGTTTTCCTTGTAGAGGTCATTCACATCCTTTGTTAAGTTTACACCTAGGTGTATGATTTTTTTTGAGGCTATTGTAAATGGAATTGTTTTCATATATTCTTTCTCAGTTTGTTCATTATTAGTGTATAGAAATGCTTATGACTTTTCTATGTTGATTTTATATCCTGCTACCTTGCTATTGGATTTTTTTCCTCAGGCGTGTCTTTTTTTTTTTAATTATTCATTTATTCACATGTGCATAATTGTTTGGGTCTTTAAATTCTCTTGTATTACCTCAACGTAGAACACCACAAGGGGCACAGATAAGACCTTAGTAAATGCTTACTAAATCCAAGTAAACCTAGATTCAGCTGTCAAAGGCTTACTGGGTGAGTGGCTCAAGTGGGAGGGCGCCTGCCTAGCAAGGCTCAGGATTCAAATCCCAGTACTGCTGAGAGAGAAAAAAAGATGGCTTGCTGAGTCTCACCCATCCTGATAAACTGGTTTTACAGTGGAAGGACTGTGACACTTCTTGATTGGCTATGTCCTTGGGCCTTTTCTTTGGCTTACTTGGATGTCACATTGAAGGTGTCTGGAGAAAAGTAGCATCAGCTGGGACCAATCTGGCTACCTAAGAGTTGGAGAGATGCTGGGCCACCAGCACCTTGGCTCCCTACACCCTACTTATATTCACTGTAAACATTCCCCAAGGCTTCCCCTTGCCATTCACTCTGCACAATTCCTGAATCAGCATTTCCTCTCTGATCTCTTTTCTTGGTCACTCAGATCTGGCCATTCCTGACCTAGAAGGCCCTTAACTAAAATCCTTAATCCTAACAAGTCCACCTCCTCCGTGAAGGCTTCTCATGTTCCTTTCCCCTTTAATATTGACCTCCACTCACTGGATAACCGTGAGTATTGCTTGATGTTTTTGGGTGACCCTTTACTATTCAGAGTACCTTTTGCCTCCCCATCAGGGAGATCACACACTATAACTTAAAACTTCTTTGCATCCCCTGGTCCATAGCATGTGGCATCTGTCCAACCACTACCAATGGTTCTTCATGTGCAAAAACAGTGGTTTTACTAACTCCAAAGTCAGGGTAGGCTGGTCCAACTCCCAGTCTTCTAGAGCATTCGTAAGTTTTTTTCGGTGAGACTAGGGTTTGAACTCAGGGCTTCATGCTTACAAAGCAGGTGCTCTACTGCTTGAGCTATACTATACCTCTAGTTCATTTTGCTCTGGTTATTTTGGACATGGTGTGTGTGTGTGTGGGGGGGAATCCCCTCATGAACTATTTGCCTCAAACCTTGATCCTCCTGATCTAGGCCTCCCAAGTAGCTAGGATTACAGGTGTGAGCCACAGGCACCAAACTCCTAAAAATCTTTTTTTTTTGTTTTGGTGGTACTGGGGTTTGAAATCACTTGCTAGGAGGGTATTCTACTTAAGCTACTTCGCCAGCTCCTAAAAAGCTTGTAAGATTCACTATACAAATCAGACGCTGGTGGCTCACACCTGTAATCCTGCCTACTCAGGAGGCAGAGATCAGGAGGAGCATGGCTCAAGCAAGACTATCTTGAAAAGCCCCTCACAAAAATAGGAGTGATGCAGTTGCTCAGGGTGAAGGCCATGCCCCAGTACCACACAAAAGATTCACTATACAGAGATGTTAAAGTGGGCCACAGCAGGCTTACCCTCCCAGGGTTGTCCTTCCTGAAGGATAGGGCTGGGCTATAGAGCTTTACCACTCCACAGCAGTCAGAATCGCTACTCTGTAATGATTTGGGTTTTCAAGAGGATATTTTTTAGTTTATTTGTTTTGGTGGTACTGGGGCTTGATCTCAGAGCCTCACACTACCAAGGTAGACACTCTACTACCTGAGCCACTCCACCAGCCTTCTTTTGTGTTGGGTACTTTTGAGATAGGGTCTTGCAAACTATTTACCCAGGCTGGCTTTGAACTGAGATCCTTATGATCTCTGCCTCCAGAGTAGCTAGGATTATAGACGTTGAGACACTGGGGCATGGCACTGGAGGATACTTTTGCTCAGTGGGAAAGGTGCGTACTTTTTGTGGTCCCTGAACCACCAGAGAAGTCAACTGTTTTACCTCGAAAATCTACCGAGACAAAGGACCAAGAAGGGGACTGGATTCGATCATGAAGGCCGGTGACAAGAGATCTGGTGGGATGTGAGGAATAAGATGCTTTTACTGGGAAGGTGACCTAATCTATCATTTATTCTAGTTACATTTGCTCTGGTGGTAGCCCCTCCCTGGCCTTACTCTTCCTCCCACACAAAGAAGCTAGGCATTCAAGGACCTTAGAAATTTGTCCCTTCTTTGGCCAGTCACCACACCCACAAAAATAGTCTGCTCTGTCCAAAATGGACAATGTCCTATCCTTACATATCTTGGTTCCCCAAGACCACCTGACCTCTAACACTGAGTGCCTGCCTCCTTCCACACATTCTCAGAGCCCAGCTGCATACAGCATCAAGTCCAAGAAGCTTCCCCTTGCATGGATTTAGCATTTGCACAAACCACTCATTTGTAACCACTCTTATATGATCTGCTTTATGCTACCTTTTCTTATGGGCAAATCTTCCATTTCAATGAAATTCTCAAGGCAGACAGCTTGCCTTGTTTGTGTCTCCCAGGGCAGCTCACACAAAAGGACCACTCAACAAAGATCAGGTGTGTGTGAATTAGAGCCTCTACAATGGCCAAGGCTAGAACGCTTTCACACTTGCCTCCAATGGGTTGGAAGGTAACTGCGTTCACTTGACAGAGGTAGGCAGCACTTGCCACTGAAAAATAAGAGCTTGAGAGCAGCAGAGCTCAAACCCAGTCCCATGTGCTGTGGCTTTTCTTGAGCCAGTCTTCCCAGCTCCAAATGAGGACAATGCTTGTTCTACTTACCTACTGGATCAAATGAGATAATATGAAGGAAAGAATATTTTAAGCACTGAACAGATCAGCTGGTGTTAATTATTACTTGGTGTTGAAAAGAGCTCAGACAGGGCCCAAACCTTGACCCCAGGGTGAAAATGGCTTTTATTTCCTCTCTTGGGGAAGGAAATGGAGGGGAGCTTTCCCAGGTACCCCACCCTAAGAAGAAGGGTATGCCCCAGAAGATGGGGCTGGAAGAACCAGATGATCATTCAGAAGAGCTCCTCCATGTCCAATTCCTGGCCCTTGGCTGCAGGGTGCGGGCAAGAGAGTCAATCCCGGCTGGGTAGCAACTCCTGCATCAATGGAGGCACAAGGAGGTATGTGCTGGTGTTCACAAAGAGGAAAGGGGAGCAGGTGCCCTGAGTGAGAAAGGAGGAGGGCCGGGTGGCCGACCCCACACCCGACGCCTGCCCAGTAGGTAACTTTCAGAAGGCCTGGCTGGTGTGACTCTCCTCCTGAGAAGGGCCTGAGGGGCCCAGAAATATCACTCCATCCAATGACTGGTCCCTTAAATGTCCATTTCAAACTGTGACTCTTCACCTGTGGAAAGAAGGAACAGAGGTCAGGAAAGCAAGGGCAAACGAGGGCATCGTGTCTTAAGAGGCCTGGGAGAGGCCCTGTTTTTCCTACAAGAGCAGAGGCTGCCAAGGAGAGTCGAGTAAAGTCAGAAATAGGCTAGGAATTCCTGGAAGTACAAGCCTGGAGCTTCCATGTCCAGCTGTGCTCTTTACCAATTCCAAAACAAAGAGCAGAGACCAGGTTTTCTTATAGGGGAGGTGATAGTCCTGAATTTTTTCTAGTGGTAGAGCGCTTACCTAGCAAGTGTCAGGCCTAATTCCCAGTACTGGGAAAAAAAAAAAAAAAAAAAAGCTTATAATTTTTATTTATTTATGGTGGTACTGGGGTTTGAACTAAGGACCTTATGCTTGCCAAGCAGGCACTCTACCACATGAGCCATTCCACCAGCCTTTTTTTGCAGCATTGAGTTTTGAACTCAGGGCATACACCTTGAGCCATTCCACCACCTTTTTTTTGTGATGGGTTTTTTTCAAGAACTATTTGCCCAAAGCCATGATCCTCCTGATCTCTGCCTCCTGAATAGCTAGGATTACAGGCCTGAACGGCTGCCTTGGAATTCTTAATCCTTTTGCCTCAGCCTCCCAAGTATTAGGGTTATACATGTTTCACCATGCCTGGGTACTTGCAACTACATAAAATATAAAACTTTCCTGTCCCAATTTTTGGTTTAGAAAGTGGTACCCTATCCTACTAGGCATCCATCCAATTGCCCATGGAATGAGCTAACCTTCCAGTTAGCTGGGTAATTCAGCCACTCACTGTCCTCACCATCCTCTTAGCACTAACATTTCTAAATAATTCATGCTGTGGCAGGTTTTTTGTTTTTTTTTTTTGTTTGTTTGTTTGCTTTTAAGTGGAATTGCCTCATTCATGGTCTACTTAGCAGGACAGCTCCAAGGCTCTAGCTAGCAAGATGCCTGCTCTGGTTCCCAAATAGGTCCCACAAATACATGGATCCAAGGGCAGGAACCTTGCTTCTTATATCCAGTTAAACAAAATGAAAATTTCGTCCTGCCTCCCACCCTGTCCTAACAGCTGTGTGAAATTGCCAGGCCATTATCTGGAGTACCGCCAGCATTTGTACCAGCCAAAGCAGCTCTAGAAACAAGAAGCAAAGAAGGTATGCAAAGCAGGCGCCAGTGGCTCGCGCCTATAATCTGAGCTACTCAGGAGGCAGAGATCAGAAGGATCACTGTTCAAAAACTGACCTGGGCAAACAGTTCATGAAACCCTATCTTGAAACAAAAAAGTCTGGCAGAGTGGCTCAAGTGGCAGAGCACCTGCCTACCAAGCATGAAGCCCTGAGTTCAAACCCTAATACCACACACACACACACACACACACACAAAACGGTGTGCAAACAAGCAGAGGGAAATGGTAGCCTTCAAGGAACAGTGGCTCAATCGTTTCAGGTGTTCACTAACTCCATCCTCAATGCTGTCTTTGGTTTGAGGCAAAAAGTAAACACTAGGCAATGACCAACAAATCTCTCCATCCTTGAACAAAAGACTGGTGACCATGCTGAGCATCTGTCACATTGCTTTCTGTTTGTGCCTAAACCCACCCTCCCACTGTGACTGAACTCTTCCTGCCACAGCCTTGAGTCTAGAAGACAAGGCAACTGTTTCCTGTGTTGGGCTGTTGGGTTCCCATAGTAATTATGAATCATGACCTGCAGGCCCTGGGTGGATGGATTCTGCTGCTGTCGGCAGAGCAGGCCTAGCCCAAGGCCCTGGCTGCTTCCTGTCTGAGCCTGGTATACTGCCTTCTGGGTGAAGGGTCAGTGGGGTTCCACATAACTGAGGTAGTCTGGAAGTGCTTACACAGCATCCTCACATAGTGAACAACTCAGATATTCTGGACGGCTAGTTTCCATACCACAAAGAGCACATTCACACACACGACTGCCAGGGTGGCTGCTCTGATTATTTGGTGGGTGGGGACACCAGGAAAGACCTAGCTACAAAATGTCAAAGCTGCAGAGACAACAGGCTGCCTTGTTTCTGTCTGTCTTCATAAATGATCCACTGAGGGACAGACACCCTGCCAGGAAGCATCGGGATATACTTTTTATCTTGTAGATATGTGATTTCCTAGACAGCAAGTGTGCCAGACCTTTGAGGAGTTTTCACCACGAACATCACGGTGGTGTTCCATGCATTGCACATTGGCAGTAATGCTTTGGAGACAATTACACAGGAGTAACTCTTATGCAAATTGTTCATGAGCCACTATGTGAAGCCACTGTCATTTTGGATAAGCTCCCCACTAACTACATTGCCTGGTGGTGCTAGATCAGTTCCCCTGGGGCTCTAGATCCCCTTGAAGGGGGAAGTTGGTCCTAAGAGTTCTTCCTCCTGCTCACCTGAAGACTCTTAGTTGATGATGGTGACAAAGGAGGCATCCTCCTTCCTCCTGGGATTATTTCCCCCTAGAGAACAGACATCCCCCTCCCAAGGCACAGCCTGGCCGGGACTGGCCACTCACCACCTGCCCGCTTTTCTTCTGGGCTGTTGCGTAGGTGGTTCTGGCTGGCTTCTGTGGGTGGCTCATCACTGACAGGACTGGTGACTCCGGGAATGGTGGGCAAGTCCCTCGGGGGTGTTTTGGCCACAGGTGAGTTCCGACACTCCATCAGGAATTTCCGATCGTAGATGATCCTGGTCCCTGGAAGAGCACAGGGAGGTTGGTAAAGCCTTCTTGAGCCTCCCCCTACCTGCTGGTTTTTCCACTTCTTGGAAGTGTGGTCACAACAGGGGAAGCAGGTTTTCTTATATGAGCTGAACCAAGGAAGAGCTAGGCTTCTCTAGAGTCTGTCCCACCCTGACACCCCTTCAATTGAGGTGTCCCAAAGTGGAGCCTGCTGGCCACCAGAATGAACCTTTGTCTTCTCAGACAGCTGAGCATACCCTGGGCTGTTCCTCAAGCCCTTCAACCCGATCACCTGTCAATACTCCATGTCAATTACCCATGACCAGCACATTCCATAGTGAAGATGGAGCATTCCTACTCACTGTTCCATCCTGAAAACCAGCGGGACAACCCCGCATAGGAAAACTTAAGGAGTCACTTAAACTAGTGAAAAAGAAGTTCTCCTGCTTGGGCTTTATGGAGAAGCGAGGGGGAAAATGACAGGCAGACTCTACTTGCTCCACACGGGGATCTCCAGTCAAGCCCTTCTCTACGAAGCCCCAGGTGACAGGGGTCCCTGCCTGTCACTGCACTTCGCAGTGTGCACACTGTGTTCCATTTATGTTCTCTCTTCACTCTCCCTTCACAGCAGTCTTACTCCCCAGGGTGAGGACTGGTCTTACTGGATGATTCACTATTATCAGACCATACCCTAGGCCCTTCCCATGTACAGCCACCTGAATGTCATATTAAGGGAGCATTTCCCAAAAGCGAAGGCCCAGGACCCTTGTGGGAGCCCGTCTGGTGCACGAGTTAACAGTGGACAGACATGGTTGGTTATCCATGTTTTGCCTGTTGCCTCTATCGCAGAAGGGCAGGCAGGATAGTCGTGTATCTTTAACACCTTCAAAGCATTTGCTGACCGTTCCCTCTGTAATGAAGAGCAGGCTCAGAGCCTCCAGCAGGCAATGGAATTTTGCTGGAATTTAAAGAACGATCTGCCATTGTATTTCTTTTTATAGTTACCGTCTATATATGGCAAGTGAATCTGGTTTTCCATACATAGTACTGGTATCAAATTTCCTTTTAAAATGCAATAATATACAATTTGATATTGTATTACAAGTCACATGAGTTACACATTATATAATGCTACATATATAATAAGCTAAAATGGAAAAGTGATATAAATAAAATATTAAAGCTATGTACAAGTAGAAATGTGAACTAAGGTAGTGGCCAGGGTGTAGCTGGCACAGCACAGTCCAGCATGTGCGAATGACCCTGAGTTTGATCCCCAACACCACAAAAAAACAGAAAAAAACCATAAGTCTCTTTCTCTCCCACTGAATGCTCTGATGAGTGGCATTCCAGGGCTGGGAAGGCTGCAGGATAACAGTGCCCACTTGCTGTTCCCCCAGGCTGACCTGTTCCCCTAGGCTCTCCTGGGTCCTCTCACCTGAGAGACAATGATGCTGAAGTTGACAGCTCTGCTTATGGGCTACAGTTCACAGCTTGGTTTCTTAGGGGGCATGGTTTCTGTTTTGTGGTGCTGGGGATTGAACCCAGAGTCTTCCAAATGCTAGGCAGGTGATCTACCACTGAGTTACACCCCCCCAGTCCTCTTCGGAGGTTATTTTTTTAGGTTGTGATAAAATACACGTAACATAATATTTTCCTATCTTAACTATTTCAAAGCATGCAGTTCAACAGTGTAAAGTACAGCCACACTGCTATGTCACCATCAGCACCATCCATCCAGAACCTTTCTTTGCATCTTGCAAAACACTCGCTACCCATTAAATAACTCCCCATTCCCCACTTTCCCTAGACCCTGGAAGTCATCCTTCTACTTTCTGTCTATATACCTCATAAAAGTGAAATCATACAGTATTTGTCTTTTTGTGACTAATTTATTTCATCATATCCTTAAGGTTCATTCGTGTTGTTGCAAATGGCAGGACTTCCTTCTTTAAGGCTTAGTAGTATTTCATCATGTATATCCACCACATTTTCTGTCAATGCATGTACTGATGGACATTTAGTTTTATTCCACAGCTTGGCTATTGTGAATAATACAGCAGTACATTTAGTCTAGCCTATGGTCTTGAGCAATATCTGCACTTTAATTCCCATGAATTGTTTCAGGCATAGGGACTGCAACCCAGGGACAGGTATTAAACCCGCTTACACAGTTGCAATTTTTGCTCAATCCTACTGCCTGAAAATAGGTGTGCAGTTTCCATTTATTCACTCACAACAACCTCTACTTCTTATAGCACCATGCGAGGTGCTAGTGATATAACGGTCAGCTGGAGTAAAAGCTCCCCAACTCACTCAGATTAAAAAAGACCTGTAAACAAGTATTTACTGTCAAGTGTACGAAGTCCCCAAACAGAGGCATATGTGGGGACCAGAGGGGCAGAGAAGAGGATCGACCTGTCTGTGGAAATGGAGACAGACACTCCAAGCCCTCTATCTTCCTCTTCTAGATAGCATGACAGTAAAGCTTTGACCCCAAGAAATATCCATGCTACTCCAATTCTGTACTGCACAGAGGGTGGGGACCCGTGGGGGAGGTGGCTGAGAATGACCTAGATGATATAAGCTGGAAATGCAGAGCAGGAAAACCCAGAAACTTCATCCCAGCAGGGAAAGAGATGGTACACCCCTTCCTCTATCTCAAGCCTTCTGTCATTTGTGTAGTTGGGATCCAGCCCCTGTTGGGTGCTGGGAGGAGAGTTCAAGGTTCAATCTTGAACTGCCTGTGAAGAACACTGAGCCTATTTCTCAGTCTTTTGAAATCCATTTTTCTCATTTACTAGCTCCAATGACGGCAGTTACTACTTCCGTTCTCTGTGCCTCAGTGGCTTCCTCTGCAGAATGGGGATGATGATAATGCCAGCTTCCTCTGTAATTGCGTGGGTTAAAACAGTGGCTGATCAACACAGCAACTAAGAGACAGCATAGATAAATGGGACCTCATAAAACTAAAAAGCTTCTGTTCATCAAAAGAAATGGTCTCTAAACCGAAGAGAACACCCACAGAGTGGGAGAAAATATTTGCCAACTATACATCAGACAAAGGACTGATAACCAGAATATACAGGGAACTTAAAAAACTAAATTCTCCCAAAAGTAACGAACCAATAAAGAAATGGGCATGTGAACTAAACAGAACTTTCTCAAAAGAAGAAATTCAAATGGCCAGAAAACACATGAAAAAATGCTCACCATCTCTAGCAATAAAGGAAATGCAAATTAAAACCACGCTAAGATTCCACCTCACCCTTGTTAGAATAGCCATCATCAGCAACACCACCAACAACAGGTGTTGGCGAGGATGCGGGGAAAAAGGAACCCTCTTACACTGTTGATGGGAATGTAGACTAGTACAACCACTCTGGAAAAAAATTTGGAGGCTACTTAAAAAGCTGGACATCGATCTACCATTTGATCCAGCAATACCACTCTTGGGGATATACCCAAGAGACTGTTACTCCAGAGGCACCTGCACATCCATGTTTATTGCGGCACTATTCACAATAGCCAAGTTATGGAAACAGCCAAGATGCCCCAGCACTGACGAATGGATTAAGAAAATGTGGTATCTATACACAATGGAATTTTATGCAGCCATGAAGAAGAACGAAATGTTATCATTCGCTGGTAAATGGATGGAATTGGAGAACATCATTCTGAGTGAGGTTAGCCTGGCCCAAAAGACCAAAAATCGTATGTTCTCCCTCATATGTGGACATTAGATCAAGGGCAAACACAACAAGGGGATTGGACTATGAGCACATGATAAAAGCAGAGCACACAAGGGAGGGGTGAGGATAGGTAAGACACCTAAAAAACTAGCTAGCATTTGTTGCCCTTAACGCAGAGAAACTAAAGCAGATACCTTAAAGCAACTGAGGCCAATAGGAGAAGGGGACCAGGAACTAGAGAAAAGGTTAGATCAAAAAGAATTAACCTAGAAGGTAACACCCACGCACAGGAAATCAATGTGAGTCAATGCCCTGTATAGCTATCCTTATCTCAACCAGCAAAAACCCTTGTTCCTTCCTATTATTGCTTATACTCTCTCTACAACAAAATTAGAAATAAGGGCAAAATAGTTTCTGCTGGGTACTGGGGGGGGGGAGAGGGAGGGGGTGGAGTGGGTGGTAAGGGAGGGGGTGGGGGCAGGGGGGAGAAATGAACCAAGCCTTGTATGCACATATGAATAATAAAAGAAAAAATGAAAAAAAAAAAACAAAAAACAAAAAACCAGTGGCTGATCAGCTGATCGCTGCTACTCAGCAGGTGGGGATCAGGGGAATCGCTGGTAGGGGACAGGGCAGGCAAAAAGTTAGCAAGACCCCCATCTCAAACAATGCCGGTGATCCCATATGCAGGGCGCTGTAGGTAGAAGGATTGCAGGCTGAGGCCAGCCGTGGGCAAAAAAACAGTAAAACTCTACCTGAAATATAATTAAAGGCAAAAAAAAGGACTTGTCTAGCAAGTGCTAGGCCCCAAGTTCAAACCTCAGTACTGCCAATAACAACAAAAACACAGTGGCTTGATGAAAGTAGTGAGCTCTGTAAACACTAGCTACTATGGCCAGTACAGCTCAGGTGAATACGTACCATTTGTTCAGTCGCATCACATCAGGACCAAAACTACAGGCAAAGGGCATAAGCAACCCTGGAAAGAGGCTTGTGGGGGGGAGGGGTAACAACATTCTCCACTGTTCTTAGACCCACAGAGTCCAAGACACAAGACGAACTTAGGGAGCCGGTCTCCTTTCGAACTCTAAACCTAGCTGTGCACCAAGCTAGGGACAGTGTTTTCCTTACAGGATACTTCATGTGGTGACAGTTTGCTTGAAAGTATTAAATCAGACATTCCCTAGGGTCTAGTTTCTCACTCATATGAACAAGGGTGTTGTACCAGGGTTGTCTAAACTATTTTATAAGGCACCAGCCATGTGCCATCTATTTTTAGGATCTCACTGTTGGCAGGCACTTAATGTGCAAATAGCTTGGGGC